AATCCTAAGCAATATCTGCGTACTTGCCGAGACTACCAGGTTGTCAAAAACTTGAAATATGGAAAACTGAAGTCTTGATAGAAGACATGAGAAAGTGACAAATCCTAAGCAACACTTTGAAATATTTGTTACAATATTTTCAAGTGTTAGGACAAAGCCGAGATGAGCAGATTAGAAGTTGTGACAGAGGTATTTTTCCCGAAGAGATTACACGTCAAGGTGAACTTTTGAAGACATGCAAATTATTTAAGTGTAGAATCATACAAGAGCAGAAAAAAGAAAAACATTCATTGAAAGAAGAAATTAGAGAAATGCATTTAAAGAAGAAAGAAGGCACTTCGGCCTAAAATATTGAAAATAATTATTCAGACTACAAAAATGCAACGTCAGCCGGATTAAAAGCATACAAAGAAGGACAAAGTACAAGGTACAAGGTACAAAGAGTAAAAAGAAGACAAAACTACTCGGCTCAATGGCAGGATATAGAAGACAGTTGGGAAGACTTCTCAGCAGCCTTCTCGGCCTCGAGCTCAGCATCGATCTCCGAAAGTTTGATCAAGCTCTTCTCGGCGATTGGCACCTCGGAGTTTGAAGGCAAGGATTGAAAAGCAAAGATCTTGGAAAAGACACAGAAACAGAAACAAGAATGTAATTCGTAATCAAGAATGGTGATGAAACTATCAAGAAATCAAGACAAAAGATTGCACAGGTGTGTCAAGCCAAAACAGTGGTAGAAATCAACAGATGTGTGAAACAGTGTTGTATTCAGAAGATGATTTGGAAACACGGGTAAAAAAGTAATGGTGATTAACAATGAAGCAGAGCTTCTTGGAAAGCAACAAAAATAAAATTAGGAGGAACAGTGGCTTACCAGAAAGAGGAAGCCGGAATGAGAATTGCCGAAGTTTGACGACGGATGCGAAAATGACAGAATGACGTAAGCTTCACCAGAGGAGAGGAACGAAACAGTTGCATAGCTTGAAAGCTTGGAACAATGACGATTTAAGCAAAAGAGCTAGAAAAGAGAAAAGCCAGAGGATTGAATGAAAAAGAGAAAATCAGAGTCAAGAAGACGACAAAGTTCAAGAATAAGCCAAGTGCAAAGGCACTAAGTAAGTATGTGAAGAACAAGAAAGTAATGACCCAGACACGATACTAGCAACAGAAAGTGGATATGGCAAGAAATAGCCAAGCGTTCAAACAATTCAAAACTTGAAAACAGACAAAAATAGAAGACAACAGAGGGCAAGTAACAAGATTCAGAAGAGTATGAAAGATTGAGCTTATAAAAGAGTTTTATGAACCTACCAAGAGAATGAACGCCGATATGAAGATCGCCGGAGTCAAATAGATGACTGGAAGTCGGGAACCCTCGAAGAATGTGAGTGGAGCAGTACAAAGCTCTTGGAGTTTACGAATTAATGGAACAAGAACCTCGGCTAGGAGGTTGATCTCGAGCAGCTTGGAAAGCATGAAGCTTGATACTTGGCAGAAGTGGACAGTAAAGTCCAGGGAACTTTGAGGTTGGCGAGTTTTGATCTCGGACAGAGGGCCACGGATGAACGAACAACGTAGGTTCCATTACCCTCAAAATTCCGAGGTAATAGAACTTAGGGGGCAGTTGTGGCGATATATTTTTGAGTACCAACACGTGGCCAAGGTGACGCCGACGTGTCAGCCGAAGCGCAACGTGTCCTGGTTTTATGCGAGGTCATCTCGGATAGGCCGAGGTTACCTCCGAAGATATCAGAATCCGGATAAGCGGATGAGGAGCAAAGAGTCTAGAATGAGAGAAGACTTCAGTTTGTATTAAAGATAAGACTCTTAGAGAGTTTATCCTAATCTATTCGGAGTCCAAGATTAGCAGTAATCCCTGAGTCCATAGAAAGTTAGGCTTCTATTGGGACTAGGTTTATGTTGGTATAAAAGAGAGGCACCCCATGGGTCTAAGGTATGCTTTTGATACTCAAGCTTGTGAGTTTAGCACTTGATTTATCTTTGAGAGATTACTGACTTGATCGTGGAGTGCCCCCGAGTGGCGAACCACCGCCGGAATCTTCTCTTTCCTGTTGCAAGTCAGCCAGGTGCCTCTATTCTATGGTGCGCTCTCTAATATGGTTACTAAGCGGGCAGTGTGGTCAGAAAATCACCCCACACAATTCTAATCAATGGATATTGAAGAAAGATGAAAATAGATGAGGCCATGCATCTCTTTCGAGAATTGCATCGAAGGGGGTTGAAACACAACAGAGGAACTTTCAACACTATGTTCAAGGTTTGTTTCGATCAAATAGATGTGAGCTAACTCAAGAACTTTAATGAGATGCAAGTTGTAGGCATAATCCAAATTCTCAAACTTATGGTATCTTATTGGATGGGTTGTGCAAAAATGGGCATATTTCTGAAGCATTGTCATTATTCCACATGAGGAAACGACGGTTTAGATCTTGATATTGTTATGTACAATATTCTCATTGATACATTCTGTAAGGATAAAAAGCTTGATACTGCAAGGGCCTTTCAATAACCTTTCTTCCAAGGGGTACATCCTGATGTTAAGACATACAATATGATGATACACGGTCTTTTGTAAAGAAGGCCTACTACATGAAGCCAAGAGATTGGTTTGTTAAAATGGAACTGAGTGGTTGCCTTGGCAAATGATGTCACTCACAACACTATTATCCGAGGATTTATTAGACGACACAAGTGCCATGAGGCATTAATATCTTTTGAGGAAATGGTTCAAAGGGGTTTTCAGCAGAATGCATCCACTTTTCCATTGATTGTAGATATAACTCTTAACTAAAGGACAGGATCCTTCTCTCCAAGAAGTGATAAAGAAGTTCATGCCCAAAGATATCCATGGAATGCAAGAGATTGAGTAAATTTCTAAAGCTGTGAAGGTAAGGCTAATATTATACCTAAAACGTGTAGCCTTTTATGTTCATAAAATGTCTGGTGAAACTCTTTCAAATATATGTATAGATGTTGCATCTTGCCTATACAGATATGTAACTGCACTATTGACAAATGCAGTACATTGACTAGTACGAATTAACGACATTTGTTATGCTTTAATATAC